TTTGAATAACAAAGCAGCGAACGGGGCCTTTAGCACAAATAAGACTTTGTTCAGCTATTAATTACAACACAGCTTTTTTTTTTTAGCACATTTTCATTCTTACCCTTTTTAAAGACAAACGTCTAGGTTTTTAGGATCTTTAAATATATTTCCATTGTAATTCATGACTTGAACATAAGTCCTAAATATCTAAAAAGGTACCTACTACCCAGAAATATGACTACATTTGACCAAAATTTGTCAGCCTCAGTAGCATAGCTGTTGAGTAATGGATCAAAGTCAAGCCTGAGCTTGAGGGGTATTTCTCTTCCTAGTCTGTATGGACCGTTGTCTCAATTTTTTGAGAAATTACACTTTTCAAAGTGCAGCTGTAATGAAGTGCTTCTCATTAAAAGCTGTGTTTGTGACAGTCAGTCAGTCAGGCAGGAATGCATGGAGGGCAGTAAGTGAGGTACCCCTGATAGAAGCTACTCATAGCAACTTTGGAGTAAAGGCTCATTTCATGCAAGGTTAGACACATCCGTCATTGGACATGGGTCTGGCTTTTACTACCTTTCAATGAAATTACACATGGAATGTGTCCACATATTGAAGATGAACCTGGAAACGGAATGTCTACCACTGGACTCTGTGGCTGCCGTGATCACTTTCAGTGTTAAAAATCCACCGTAGGCAGCGAATCAAAGTCGAATGTTGACAAAGGTCATGGATCCAGGGAACTTGTGCTCTCTTTGATAGTGTGCAAAGTCTTTGTTTGTAATGTGTTTTTGATGCAGTCAGTAGTCACACATTAATTAAATCAAGCATGAATATCTTTGCAAATATGCCCACTAATTAAGCTTTAAGCCCCAAAAATCAGGCTCACATGAATAGTTTGCTCTGGGTTTAAAATATAAAAACACCAGGCTATTCTTCTGGTGTAAGCATCATATGTAATAATCTGCAGAGGTTACAGTCCTGTGGTGAGAAGGTCGGTGCTTCCATGTCCATAATCTGAGCAGACATTTTGTAACATTTTGACCAAATACATATTTCTCATTATTGTTTTGGCTGCTCCACGGTTGTCGTGGCTGGTTCTGCATGCAGCACTGGCTTTTCTAACAGATGTACCTCTGGAAATCTAACTGGAACAAAGGCGCTATTTTTCTTTCCATTCCAGAGTGGCCACACATATCTCGCAGTAAGATCAACTTGAGACTAGCCACTCAATCATTTCAGCTCCTTAAAGTTGAGAGGAAGGTACTTTTGCTCAAAAAAGCCTAATCTGATTCTCAACCTCTTTATTACTCACCTGATTTGTTGATAATCCCAGAGGGGCAAGCAAAATGGCTGCCATTACAAAACTGATGGCACAGCATGGTAATAGAATTTGCTTGCACCTTTTTAAAGGATCCATTTTATTTTTATTTTTTTTTGCACTTACTGAAAATAATTGCAGTTTTGATGCTGCATTACTGAATGGAATGCTAATTCTGCTTCTTCAGTTAGCAAATTAGGAGCTTTTAAAAATGTAAAACGCAAGCAGAGTGTGTGCATTAATTTGTCTGAGGTTTTGTGTATGGATTTGGTAAGAACTGTTGATAGATAGATAGCATTCCTTCAGTTATCAGTACTTTTATGCATTAACTATAAACCAAACATATTAAAAAAAGTAGTTAAGGTGTACATTTGCCATGGCCCTGGCCCCATGTTAAAATGTTGTAGACAGAAAAAAGCAAAATGTGGTTATTACTGATTTATTCACCAAGGACTTTGAAGCAAATAGACCTCCTTTAAGCCAAAGGAATTCCTCCACAAAAAATGTTGCCTATTTCTGGAAAGCAATCCCAGTATTTCTCATTCTGAAATTAGGCTAATAGGCACCAAAGTAGTTGTATTGCGTTTCTTGTCCAAAAATTGCATGCTTTGCCAGTGAAGCATTACATCGAGGTTATGTGCAAGAAAAACTAAGTGAACGAATCAGTCACTGCAGGGTAGCAAAGAAAGGTAACAGTGATGGATTTCTCTAAATGGCATTGTCTTTCCTTTGTTGCGGAAGCATGATGGATATCAACAATAAGTATGCTCTTTAGTCCTGACTGAGAGAGAGACATCTCATAAATCTTAAACTTAATTTTCTTTCAAGCACACATTTTAAAAGTTCTAAATACTGGACCAAACTTCAAAATAATTCTGTCTGAAACGGAAGAAATGTTTTCAAGTAATGACATGCTAAATACATCAACTGCGCTCTCTGCCTTGTAACACAGTGAAGACACATTGTTTTGGGGTGTCTTTGACAAATGACAACAGCCTATCCCTCCAGTTATTAAAAATCTGGTTTCTCTCTCATATTCATCCTTACATGGCTACAGGCTTGAATACAATCCCAAGTAGTTCAATTATACCTTATTTCCCTGTACTTTTCTGGTGTCGTGTTTTGACATCTTGCTTCTTTTTTTTTTAATATAAATTTGACCTCAGGCTGTCTAAACACAACATTAGGATTAACATCTTGGCTTTGTGGCATCAAAAGAGGCTCCAATCTCACGGACTTAAAACTGAGATGTCTTCTGCGCTAAATCAGCCAGCGCTAATTTGTGTACCAACAGGTTGAGCCTTTTTAATAGCTGCCTGTCCAGACTGATTTAGAAATAATCACTCAAATATCAGCCACAAAATGATGAATCTGTGACTTCGAAGAAAGACTTGTATTTAAAAATGTGTTAAAAATGTGTGTGTGTGTGTGTGTGTGTGTGTGTGTGTGTGTGTGTGTGTGTGTGTACTTGCGCTGTAATAATTGCCATCCAAATATCTTACTGACACCACTCTTAATGACATGCTGCAGTGCCTTTGTTGCACTGTTGATCATCAGCTGCTGATTAGGTGTGACTGGCTGCAAGGCTAATATCACCGCTGAGCTGATCAATGTTTCGCAAAGGCACATAATCAACACCATGAAAAAGTATGATAATCATCGATGATTCATGAAGCCAGCGATGTTGATTGGTATCTAAAAATGACAATACAGATTGTCACAGCCCCTGACACCATATGTCCTTTTTGATACCTGAACTGAGACCAAGGTCATTATGCTTTGCACCTTTTTGTTTTTTAATCATTGCTTGCACTGAATGCTACTGTTGGAAATGGATATTCATTCAAAAAGACGCATCACTTTAAGGGCACCCAGCTAGCCCCACTGAGCCAAGCGGCAAGCGAGTTTTACTGTATGCCGTCGTGTAGATTTTAGTGTTTTCTTCCATTTGTATGAAATAATTAAAAAGCAGCGCGTGCTGTTATTTTTTAAAAATTTCCCACAAAGAAGCAGGCATTCAGACTGACTAAATCAGACAGGCCTTTTATTCTGCCAAATGAGGAATTAGTTTATGATTCAAGACACCACAGGGTAGAGCATGAAACACTGTAAAGCAATAACATGTCAGAGTATCTGCAGCAGTTAGCCTTACATGGCTGAACGTTAGATGAACTGCCTGCTGTTTGTCCAATCATCAGTGTACCTGCTCATTCTTTGTACGACAAAGAGTTCACACTGTGCTTTCTACCTAATTTCAGCAAAACAGATGTGGACATGATCAAATCAGACTGAAAGACCTTTGAACAAGCTTCTAAAGCGTGTTACTTTGTGCAGTCACGGTCCTGAAGATCCCAATCAGCATCAAACGGCTGCGATGTTTGTTTCTACCTGGCGGCTTTCCCTCCTTTCATTGTACCCTCTTAATATTCGAATTTTTTATGCGAGCACAAACACAGTGTCCTTGATGCTATACTGGGTAGTGATGTTGTTTGAATCTAGCTGCCCTGATTTCTTTATTTATTTTTCTTAATCCAATCACGGAACATGTTTGTTGATGTGATTTGGTTAATGCCAACAGTCTGATGCGCGGATTAGACAACTGTCTTTTCTGTACTCAAGTGATTTACCGTATAATTAGTCATAACATTTCTAACTTTCTGTGTAACGTGATCAGATCAGATGACAGATTTCTCCCTCTGTGGCTCACTTTGAGGGAGGTCAGTCTTTCGAGGCTTTCGGCTTGGTGCTGGGATTTAGCAAAACGAGGCTACAAACTCTATTAGGAGAGATCATTTAAGCACTCCTATCAATGGCTGATGCATTGTATTGTCTAATGTACTAACATAAGTTATGTGTAAATCTGTTGTTAATGCATCACCTGCATTGCCTATTTGCGAATGATAAAATCACCTCATTAGGCTCACACTGCCATAAGTAATGCTAGATTTTAATTAAAAACAAGAGTTCAAAAACAATTTGCATGAGCTATTTACAGTATGATACATCTGCTTAAAAGAGCTGATGCAAATTCCTTTCTAATTGCAATATTTCTAGCATCACTTTTCTCGGTGTCGCTTGAAAACACTGTACTCATTGTCTCTTTGTTCCTTTATGGGAAGCAAAGAGGGCATGCATTGTAATGAATACAGCTCAGAATACATTTGTCTAAGCCTCTCAGTCTCCTGGACTTGCCCATCCAAAAAGAAATCACACAAAGATGACAAAGTGTTGAGGAAACCGTGGATCAATAGCATGTTATGTCCATGACCCCCCCTCCTCTGTGGCTTTCTGATGGCTTACACATTTTTACTTTCATTTATTTTTCTTTTCTTTTTGGGTGTGCAGGCAGGTGGGAGGGCGGGCGGGAGGGAGGGAGCTGGTCTAATGAAGTGTTAGTCTTTAAAAACAAACAAACAAACAACAACAAGAAAAAAAACAATGTGAGTTTATCTGCATGTTTGCTATGTGTCTACGCTGTGCTTTCAAGCTCAATTAATACTTCCAACTCACCCGTATAAATTCGTTGCATTGTTCTATGCCATAGAGAAAAGGACAAATTAAATACAACCTTGTGTGGTCTTTGTTTCTAGCCATGTACTGCAGTTGCTTCAAACATCCTGAAAACAGTATGTAATAAGCTTTTTGTTCTCAGAACATCATGTTTAAGCCTAGCTTTCATATGAACCTCTATTCTGTCCCATAGAATATGGAATGATCGGAGAGCATACAGTAAAAAGTCAGCGGCCAAGATCAGTTCATGACACAAAGGCCCTGCAGGAGCAAGCTGAATCTGCTAAATTTATGGCACAAACTGGTAATACAATAGTTATGTTTCTTGACTTTATTTTGTTAACTAAACTTAATTTCATCATGCATGCTCTCTCTTGTACTGCACCTTTTAAGTGGAAATGTTTTGCATTATTATTTTTCCTACTCATTCTCTATTGCTACATATGGACGAGGAAGAAAATTTCCCATTTCTCTAGGAGTATTTACTTTGAATATAGGACATAATTGGGTTTTGTGGGTCTGTTTGTTTTATTGTCACATAGTGAGTTGGCGAGTGGATTACTCATACAGTATATTCGGGGAACATTAATTAAACAGCAGTTTAAAACTACGGCCCAGATGTAGTTAATTATTTCCTCCAAGGCGTGATAAATTAAATGTCATTCGATGAAAAAACCCACCCTTTCGGCCAAATATGAAACACATACTTGGCAAAAGTTGAACTGATAGATGTGGCCCTTAGAGATAAAATGAACCTGTGTGGTTTCAGCAAGTGTAGCGAATTCAAAACTTAAATGATCTAAATTCATTATGGCTTTTACGATCCACCAGTTTTGGCTTTTTTTTTTTTAATAAAATCAGAAAGTAGTAAAACAAGTTAGGTACAAATCCAAGCAAAATCTTTATTTTGCTTTCATTATTTTTTAAGTATCTTTTGCTTTAATATAGCTAGACAACATTTGTTTTTAGTGGGTGGGTTTAGTTGTAGCTATTATTAAGTTTTTGGTTTTTTTATTTTAAGTTTTGGGAAATGTTTTATTTTTTTCATGTGTTGTTTCGTTTAAATTGCTGTCATTGTTTAAAAACTCCTTTCCTTTCATTGTCATTTTAATTTATGACGCACTGTACATGCATTCGCACCACTACTAACATATACTCATTAACATCTCTTCATTTTCCCCACGCTGTAGGTACGTTGTTTCCCTGTCGAGTTGCATCCGCTGTGCTTTTCTGTTTTCTCATTCTCACACAATTTACTCTCCCTGTACTGCCTCATTTAACAAATTGATCCACCTCTCAGTCTATTTTATGATCTACAAAATTAAGGGCAGGGTTAAGACCCCTATTTGGCTGAATCTATGTGTCCTTGTTACAACATGCTGTGAAACTACTTTAAATTCTGATATGATTTGATGACTTTCAATGACATAAATGTATTCAGAGCTGAAATTGAAAATATTTCGCTTTGTATTGAATTATCCCTCCAATACATAAAGCCTCAAAGAAAATGAATTCTTCACCTGGATTTTAACATAATCGTAGAGCAATTATTCGGTGACTACACTCATGTGGGAATTTTATTGTCCACTCACTTGTCACCAAATTATTTATTCTTTTTTTCTTTCATTCTGGCTATCGTGGCTTTGGAAATCACCCCACTGCCTCATCATACTATGCAGCTTTATTTAGCATCTCATGGCTTTTTTGGGGTACCTTTTGTACCATTAAAATTGAAAGGCTCAATGCGGTTTCTTCCTTTTTATCCTTTAAGTTAACTCAGACATCTCCAAGTTAATGTAACAGCTATGGTCCTTTACCTCGCTAATCTGCTATACTTTCTGCTACGTATGATGATTTAATGATGATAAGTCTGCACGCAGAGTTAAGCAACTGCAAATTCTCCCTATAGATTTAAAGGCCTAGCCCATAAAGACAGACTCACATTCACATCCTGTGGCTTAAATAGCACAGATTACACGTCCTTCTGGGCATCCACAATTTAAATTTAAATTTAAGTGTACGGAAAACCTTCTGCTTTGAGCCACTCATGAAAATGGCTGTGATCTGCTGAATAAAATCAGCTAACTTTCTCATTTTCCTCCATCCCTGCGAGTTAACAACTTGAGCTAGATTAAAAAAGATTTTTTTTTTGAAGCCATTGTCTAAAACACAGAATTTGCTCCAATGTTGTCAAGGAAACTAGATAGTTTGCTGCAGTGCAAGGAAATCCACATTTAAGACCCCTTTCTGAACTAACACCCATTAAATTCCATTTTTATTTTCTCAGATGTTGTCTTTTCTTGCATGCCACCATGAAATTTTGTTTTTGCTTATAGCGAATTTACTTTTTTTAAACATAATATTGAGTTCCACTGAAATGCATGACCTTTTTTTTTCAATGAATTGAAAGCGATAGATGTAACCCTAGTGTCTACTGTTCATTTTTTCCAACCATAGCTGTACCTTTTCTGTGATCTTTGCATGAATTTGGTGTAAAAAGGCAGATTAATATACAAATTACTCCTACACTGGAGAGCCATTTGTTAATGCTACTACTCCCAGTGATTGCAGCCACAAAAACACTTTTATGCTGCCTGCAAATGGAATCACGAGTCAAAGGAATTAAGCTGCCAATTCAGTATTCATCAAAGATCACATAAAGGTAGAATAGACTGTATGCTAAATTTCTTCTTTAGGACCTCACCCCACCCCGACGTTACTCATGTTGGCTCCTCCCTCTTTTACTCAAACCTGCCCACATTGCCCCACCCCGCCCAGTATAAGCGGTATAAGCCCCAGGACCATACTACTGCATTTAACTAGTGTCACCCTTCTCCCACACAGGTGAATCAGGTGCAGAGGAGTGGTCCCAGTGGAGCTCATGCTCTGTAACATGCGGTCAAGGGTCGCAGGTGCGAACAAGAACATGTGTCTCACCATACGGAACACACTGCAGCGGCCCTTTAAGAGAATCAAGGGTTTGCAATAACACTGCCCCTTGTCCAGGTAGTGTTAGCCGCAGATTCTTGAATATTAATGTTTTGCACCTTTGTTGTTGATATGGGAGGAAATGTGTTGTTCTGTTTTAACAAATTTCTGAATGTGTCTATATTTCCAAATGTATGTAGTAATAATATAATGAATCTAATGCTTTGTTTCTTTGATGTTATTTTGTGAATGTTGTTTTTCTTTTTTCATTATCATTTTGAGTTTTCCATTTCATATAACTGTGAATCAATTCATCAGCATTGAAATGGTTTAATGACATGTGGATCCACATGGAGCCCTGGGAGCTGTAGATACTGATATATCGTCAGCTTCATTTTCTTGAAGGTCAACTGTGCATTTTAAAATAGCTTTCTTCAAACACCCTTTAAGGCATTTCTTCCTCAATCCATGATGGCATGGCAGATGAGTCACTGGCACTCAGGTATCAGCATCTTTGCTGGCTGGTGATTGCAGCATGAAAATGTTTGTCAGAATGAATCTGGTAGAACAGCGTGTCACAAGTAACCCCTGTCAATTTTTATTTTTTTCTCCCTCTTTTTTTACTCCCACGAATAAGTTGATTTAGCTTTCGGGTTTAGTCAAAGTATCTGATGGCGATCATAAACACAGTGCATCCGAGACCGCAAACTTCTAAGTAATTATGGCCGATCAAAAACACTGCAAGCTGCATCCTCTGACATTCTGATTAGTGATGTATTATATCCTATTTTAGATAGAGTCTGTCTAAGTGGGAAGTTGGTGGTTTTCAAAAGGGTCATTCCTTTAGTACGCGTCAACACTGAGAGACAGAAAGAGAATGAGTCATCATTATAAAAGAGCATCATTTCAGCCCTGATGTGACTCCTCAATGCCCAGTATTATTCAGTTCAGAAAGCATAAACCCTGCTGAATTATCACTGTGGTTCCAAAACTTTTTTCAAATAACAATGGAGAAAATCACCATAGAACTGTGCCTTGACACTTAGGGGAAAGTAAAGCAATTAGAAATTTACATTTTTAAAAGAGCAACAAGATAGAGATTCTAATTTGCTTTTCTAATTTTCACTTGTTTAATGAGTTTTTAGTTCAGACCGTATCAATGCACTCCTGCTGTGTTGTTAAATTGCTCTGACTATAATACTTGAAAGATGACGGATTTGCTGTTCTCTTACTTATACTTGAAATCTACCACTAGGATCAAAGAAGTTGTTTTACCGGGTCATCCTTAAAATACTTACATAGCACTAACTATACTTAGTTACTGTAGCAAACTGCTACAAAGAACTCCAGCCTGGCATGGGGCCACATGAAACACAGAGTATACATCTAATATTCTGTAAGGCAGACATATCGATTAGCTTTCTTTGCTCTCTGTGCTATGCCAAGCTTAGAAGAACACCTCCAAAATACATTATGCCTAAAGACACATCACTTCCAGTCAAAAGAAACCTTACCTTATAGTTGCCATGACTGAAAACAGCAACATCGTCTGTGAACGGCGTCCTGAGCTCTGCATCTTGAGATCAAGCATGCTGTTAGAAATCCTGGGCCTACATAAGTTGTGATGCCATACACAACATGATGGAATATGCCAAAATACAGCAACACATCTGCTGTATGAAATATCCCCTGGGTTGTAAAATGCTAGTCCTTTCACAAGCCAAGCAACAAAAACCCATGGCATTTTTCTGTTGAATCTTATTCGCTTTATTCTTAGTAGCACAGTCTACAGGAATTCTGATATCTGACATTTCTTCAGTTCAGGGTTTTCTACAGCACTAACATTCAGTGCATATTTAAGGTTACTGTTAGATTCTTAAACTGTAGCACACAATAAGATATTCATCAGAATAACATTTTTCCTTACATATAAGATAAAACCAGGAGGAAAGTACATACGTCTAAAATCTGATTCCATCCTGAATAAAAGTTGGCATCTTCTGTTTTTTGTAAACACTAATATTATTTCACCATCAGACATTTCACAATGTGAGGTTTGGTAAAATCATAAAGAGCTATACCTTTGACATTAAACCCCTCTGGCTTTCTGTTACTTAAGTTCAGTTAGCCGGCAAGCTTTGCAATGTAAATCCACAGGAAGGCTCTTTGATGCCATCCCTTTGAACACGAGAAGGAAGCATAAACTGTGCTACCTATCTGCATTGCTATGAAGTGTCACCCAAGGTAACAGGTTTATCTTCTTTTTTTTCTTTTTTTGTGTTGTCAATTTTTTTTTAGGAAGGATTATATTCTAAGTAAAGCTAGCTACATCATCAGGTCAGGGTTAATAATTTAAAGTTAGGTTGTTTAATGCCGCTCATACACTCCATAGCTGTAGCTAGCTGCTAGGTTTCCTGGTTTGGTTTGCAGGATATATTCACCTATGTTTAGCATGGGCACTGAGGACAATTACAATGGAATAAAAAATGAAGTGTGTAAAAATAGAAAAATAAGTGGAGAATAAGTAAAACACAGGTCAATAACCTACACTTTAGAATCAGTACAAATATGTCAAGATTTTACATGCATGATAATGTATAAAATCTTGTTTAGACATTTTGGTTGACAGGTCTTTTTCTATGAAAAAACCCTCTGAATTTAACTGAATTACTGTGTGACAGATGCAAATCTACTCCACTACAGAAGCATTGATTGGGTTATCTGAAGCTACTTCAAACCACTCTGTATCAAAAGAGAAGGCACTCAGAAACAAAATAATAAATACTGTATGGTGACTACAGTTGGGTAAAAGGAGCTAGCTAGCAAGTTAAAAAGGTTAAACTTCACTGGAAAGCAATGAGAAGGCCACCCAAATCCCAGCTTACCTCAAATTAATGAAAACATTCTTGGCAAATGCAGTTGCTTTGTCCATCATCTTGTAGTGGTCCAGGAATTTCACCTCTAGCAGACCAATAGCATTGCTCATGGACATCCCTGTAAATCATGGCTGCAGTTCAGAGAAAAAGCACACAAAGGGACAGAATCCTATTCCATCTTTGCTAGCTGTGGTGACTGCAAGCTTTGAACTCGAATATTTCAAAGTAAAGGCTTCAGTCACCATGGGCCACTTAGCTAAGAGCATCAAAGTAGCGCCTAGAGGCACGGGCCGGGACAGACGGTAGCTTGCCTCATGGCGGACCATAGGCTTGATCCCAAGATCCAACTACTCTACAACTGATTCCGAGATCTAAAAATTTGTACTGCGGGGACTTTAAGCTTCTGCACAAGCTGTGGACAGCGACCCTTCTGAAGAGGATTTATCAAGCCCCAGCGGCCACTGTACAGTAGTCAGACATACATTACTAAGGTCTTAAGTCCTGTTTGTAGTCAAAAGATGATAAGACCACCAGATATGCTGTGTTTACAACAAACCTCTATTAATTGTGCGCATGCTAATTTGCAAGTGCAAGACATGAGAAATTCCTCCCACACTTCTGAAAATGTAGAGCCTAATCACGGCCGCAGCACCGTCCATCTACTGCAGGTTTCTGTTTAACATTTGCTTATTTAAAACATTGGAAGACACACTGAAGCTGAACGCTCATTTTCAATAGCCATCAGAGCTCACCAGAGCCTATACTGCAATGTCATATAGTATTATTTTTTAATATTATGATTTACTTTTGAAAGTGGCCACCTTTCTATTTCTCTCATGCAGAAAATAATCAAGTTAGGTAAGGGTGATATATTAGAGCATAAGTATAAGTTTGAAGATTTATAGATAAAAACAGAGATTGACTTTTTGGTAACAAACACAGTTTCAGTATTTTCTGGGTTTTATGCAATGCACTTAAAGTTAATGCTGGGCCTTAACTCTGTCAGTAAATGTACTTCAGTGCTGGCATCAAGCTGCCAACAGTTGCATCAGAAACTAATATCAGAGGTTAAACTTTTACATTTTGAAAGCAGTGTGTTCATCACTCCATATCTCTGTGTACATTTAGGAGCACTGCCAAGACAAGACAGGAGGTGTCTTACTTCTGTCTGCCTCTCAGATTTTCACATTTCCCTCTCCAAAGTAAAACTATGAGCCAATAGCAAATATTCTCCGCAGTTTTATGAAGACTCACCATCTGTCAACTAGAACCCAGTTAAGCTTACACACAAACCAAGATGCCAGAGGAATGCTGCCTTTTCCCAGCTATTGTTTTAAATTAATTGAAAAAAAAGCAATTATAGTTTAAAAGTTGCACTTTTGTCAAGAAACATTGTGTTACATTAGAAATAGCTATATTTAGAAGCATGTTTCAGTAGAATAAATTATCTGAATAGATAGATCAGAGGGTATTAGAGCATTCGTTTATGTCAAACTCACGGTTGACGTTGAATGCTAGATAGATAATCTCACTGATGTTGGCTTTAATGAGCAGCGGTGACAAAATGTTGTTCAAAAACAACATGCCACAGATTTATAATTCCAAAGGAAACAACATAACCTCCGCAACATATATCATAATGTTCAATACATTTTCTTTTTTTAATTTATCCGTCTTTCCTGATATGTAGTCCAAATATTGCACACTTACTCTGAGGACTGGAAGCAGGCTATAGATTGTCTGTTTTGTGCATTACCATGATCAGTATGTTAGTGCAATGACAGCTTTCCAGAACCATTGTCAGCCCACATTATCTTGAAGGTCCCCTGCTATTAGATTCTCAGTCAACCAAGAAGATTCAACAGACTGTGACATTGTTAGACCTGCTGTTCCTGATGGTTACCTTGGTTTAGATAGTCTGGACTCTTATTGTTGGTGTTCTGCACGTCGAAACTCCCTTGTCAGAGATTGACATTTTTATTGTGTTCTACCTGTGCTACTGTATGGCGCGTTGTTAGAGGAGCAGCATTTGCTGTTATTGTGATAAATGTTTGGAGGAGACTGCAGCTTATGGCTGAGCTAGAGAATAGCCCCCACAATGTCTGTGTGCTCTGTGTTTTACTTACATTACTCTGTTGCTAATTCTTTTGATTGATTTTGTTTCATTTATGGCTCAGCGCAGTTCGGTGAGGCCTTTGTTTATGCTGTATCAGAGACAGAGACATTGATTAGGCCTGACGCCTTTTCTGTGCCCGCAGTACACGGTGTGTGGGAGGAGTGGTCACCGTGGAGCCTGTGCTCATTCACATGTGGCAGAGGTCACCGCACTAGGACTAGGATGTGCTCTCCTCCCCAGCATGGAGGCAGGGCTTGTGATGGACCTGAGACCCAGACTAAACTTTGCAACATAGCCCTTTGCCCAGGTATCATCTGTCTGCTCTCTTAATCTGTTAGAAATCATTTTATTAACAGTTATGAGTAAAGCATGGACTCGTTTAAAAGATTAGTTCTGTAAAATGCAATACACCTCACATATATTAGTCAGTGCAATATTTTAAAGGTAAGTAAAAAAAGAAAAGGGAATGGATGCAGACTCTGAGCTTACACAATAAAGCGGTTTAGGTAACCCTGTTGAGAAGGAATACTGTAATACTGACGTCAAAATCACTTACTCCCAGTTGCCTGTGAATGGTAAGCAGATTAGTGATGATGAGTTTCTCCACACAGTAAATGTTAGCTTTGCTGTCCTAGCAGACTCAGTGAAAACAACTCAATTTCAGATGCTTTCCCTCTTCCCTGACAAGAAGGTAGCGGCACTGTGTGCTTTGAACCTCTTAATAATATGAATCTTAATATGAAGCTACTCTTCCAATATCTGTTTTTTTATGTCTTATTCTCTTTTGTCTCTGACTTTATTGGGAAATTCTAGTTGAATAAACAAACAAAAAACAAAGCAGACACCCGACTGAAAGTCTGAGTCTTCAAATTTGACAAGTTGCCCTGTAAATTTTTGCATTTCACATAACATCTGTTTTATTGGCTTTCAGTATGAGAGAGAATAGTGATCTGAATATTTCCTCCCATTTCTGTCTGCCCTCCTTTTCCCTTCACTTGGGACATGCTTGTTGGGTTGTGGTTGGTGCCTCAGTGGACGGACAGTGGCAGGAGTGGAGCTCTTGGAGCGATTGCTCGGTGACCTGTGCCAATGGCACACAGCAGAGGACCAGGCAGTGCTCAGCAGCCGCCCATGGGGGATCTGAGTGTCGCGGTCACTGGGCAGAAAGCAGAGAGTGCCATAATCCTGACTGCACAGGTAAAAAATCCTGAGCCTCTTAATTCCATATCCGCTTTGATGTCTAAATTTGAAAACAACGATTCTAAACAGGGAAGAGAGAGAGAGAGACAAAAAAAGCCAGCCCGTCCCATATTGTCATCATCATTATTACAGTCATTACCATGTAGCACAATCTATCGCCTTTAACTGAGCTATCTTACTCTCCCTGATGCGTACAGAGAAGCCCTGTAGCAAGAATCAAATCGGCATTGTAAGAATCAAGAGTAATGTTCAAGACCGTGCTCTATCAATTGGATTTGAAAAATCCAGTTAGATATACTGTATGCCTTTCACATAATTCTGGGTTAGCAGCCCGAACTGTCTGTCAACATCATAGATGCATTAGAGGCTCAAAGATGTCTGCTTAGAGGTCTCAATCAGGCTTTGAATTGTCTGATCATGTGAAGGGTCTGAGCACTCTCATAATCTCCTGATGCAAATGCAGCTGCAAAAACAGCTAGGTTTCTAGTCTGTAGCTCGCCGATATGTGTGTGGAGCATGGTTTCCTCTTTAGTTTTCAAAGTCATTACAAATGTTGTTTCAATAATCAGCCAGCCCTGTGGTCTGCTGGACCCCTAAAACAGAGGCAAATGCTTGCGAATGCGTATTTTTAATTTGTGCTTATGATAATGAAGAAGGTGATGCTGTTGTTTGCCGTTACAGTGAGAGAATGCATTATACAGTTTATTCATTTAATGAGGCCTATCTATTTAGCAAGTCCTACTTGTTTCCAAGGTGAGAGATCAATCATTAGTGAGAAACACAGCCACTATTTAACAAGTCAGCACAATGTCCATTAGTGCTGGAGGCACTGCTTTGACAAAGAGTTCAAGGCAAAAGCATCATTTTTTCTTTTTAGAACTAGCTAAATGCATGTTTGGCTAGTTTCTAGAAATTCTGGTATTTTTTTTTAATGTAACTGAATAGATTAAAGTCTTTAAAAAAAGCCTAATAACTACAATAAATGCCTGTGCAGGTTTTTGAATCAATGCTATGTGTTTTCAAATGAAAACAATTTCTTCAGAACTGCTGGAACAATGAGCTCTTTGAAACACATGAGCATGCATCTGTTTGAAGAATCAGCTGCTTCATGTGCAGGCAAAGAAATCACTATTCACTGGGATTTGATCAATGTCTTGCAGATAGTTTCAGCCAACAGGTCATCGTGGTTTTTCCTGGTTTTTCTTGCTTCCAGTAGCAATCCTGACAGAGGTTAGTTGTAGGACATGATAAATGCCCGTATAAGTGAAGAAGGGGTAAGTGGAGGTTAGAATGAGCGGTGTGTGTTTCCTGCTCACACGGTGTTGTACCTTTCCATTCAGAAGGGCGTGTGATTTACTACATCGCTGAAGGGGAGCATCTGTTTTTTTGTCTAACGCAGAGTTTAACAGTGTTCATTACAAGGGCATAAATCGTACCTCTGGGTTTGGAAACGTCAGCATAAATGTGTGTGTGTGTGTGTGGCTTTATTTGTTTTTTTAATATCGTCAAAACGATGTGAATAATCGGCGCTCTCATTTTCTTTAGCCATAAAATACACACACCCCTGATTATTACAGGTCATATTGTTCATTTGTGAAATACTGCCAAGAAATTACGTCTTCAAACTAAAAGCATGAGTAGCAAAATATATAAATGTAATCAAAAGCTAAAGATATCACACACTAAATAAAGACATTTTTATAGCTGTTTCTTTTTAGTTGATCTTCTGCTGTTTTTGTTTTTTTTAAGTAGTTGTTGTATTTGTAATAGTGTCGGTTTCTAACTAGAAATGATTCCATTTTAGCTAATGGCCAGTGGAATCCTTGGGGTCCGTGGAGTGGCTGCTCAAAGTCTTGCGACGGTGGATGGCAGAGGCGTGCTCGGGTGTGTCAGGGGGCAGCGGTGACTGGGCAACAGTGTGATGGGAGCGGAGAAGAAGTCAGAAAGTGCAGTGACCAGCGGTGTCCAGGTGAGTCAGAGCATAATAAGACTTAAGTCTGAGTGGCCACAGAGAAGCTGAACGAAAGTGAGGAGATAATTATCTCTGTGCACTGACTGACATGTCTTGTTATAAGAGATCAGTTAAAACTGAGTCTGTAGAGGGGGTGCAGATTAGCAGAGGTGGATGACTGAAATAAATGAAGAAATTGAAATCATGGTGACGGACATACCGAGAAATTGAAGTATCATCAAAGCTTAAAGTACGGTTTTCAAAATAATCTCCTTTGAAGTAGAGTCTTAAACATGAAGTCACGTAATACTTCTATTCTCTGAAGTAAAGGAAGCAGTGTTCCACAAAAATGTTAAAAACTTTTTTTCCATTATTATAATTAAGAAGTACCTTCCCTCATAAAGACTGAGGCATGTGAAGAGGGTAAATTTTATTATAATCCATAAATGCATTCTCAGACTCTCTGAAACTATACAGCTTTGATCTCCTATATTTCCATACCTCTTAATATGCAGCATGAAGAAATTGTTGCATCATATTGGAAAGACTAAAAAGCTTTTAGCATTGATGTAGTAATGTTTGTATTACTTTGCACTCCAGCACCTTATGAAATTTGTCCTGAGGACTATGCAGTGTCAATGGTGTGGAGACGAACCCCTTCAGGAGAACTCGCCTTCAATAGATGTCCCCCTAATGCCACAGGTGAGGACAGAAGCTACATCATATATTTGTGTATTTTCTTTTTTTAAAATATGAGACTTAGTTGTGTTACTTTATAGCAACAATGTTCCTGGTTTGAACCACTTGTGGAGTTTGCACGGTGTCCTTTGGCTCTGTGTACCCTAACTTCTACTCACAGTCCAAAGAAATGCATGTTAGGTGAGCTGGTGTTTCTAAATTGGCTGTAGGTGTGAATGAGAGAGTGTGTGGTTGTCTGACTTTGCATTGGCCTGTTCAGGGCATGCTTCTCGCTCAAAGTTAGCCAAGTAAGGCTCCCCTGGATAAGTGGTTAAGAAAATGGATGGATGTAGTAAATGGTGAAAATAAAAACCGAGTTGCCTCAGGTCTTCTTTCAGTTTGACACTGAACATTTCATTGTTGGCAGCAGTTCCAACACTAGTAAACAAGCTTTAATCTGTGATGTTAGATCTCCTTTTTGATTTCACAGGGAAAATATTGTGGGATTTATAGAATTTGGGTTCATTTTGTGATGATATTGCCACCCACCTCGGCATGGTCAGGAAGTCAAACGCACGGCAAACTCGGGTTGCCTGGAGCAATGTGCATTGATTTGACTTGCAAACAAGTGGCAGTGCAAATTCAAGCAAGCGAACTAATGAAAAAATAATTATTAAACTGTAAGCACTACTGGCAAATGAATGGAACTTGTCTGCAGAGACACAACCCTTGATTTATTTATTTTTTCCACTCAAATTTTCTGGAAATTTAAGATAGCAATCCTGCATGACAAAAAGGTGCAAAAAGACAGACTAAATTACAAATTTTATATTGTACAAATAAGCATTTTACTAAAAAAAAAAAAAAAAGAATACACTGCAATAAAGCTTCTGCTGTAATCACTTTGAATGACATTTTGTAATTAGATTTTCATTTTATTATCACTAGTTTAATTGTCCTTATAGAATGAAGCTTTATTGGTAAGTGTACTCATCTTGTTAAAATCCTATTACTTATCCTCATTCCCCCAAGGGAAAAAACATATTGGATTCCATCCAATTTAAAATAACAAGACAAGACTTTTCATACATGTATCAGTGCAATTTTGCCACTTCATAAGGTGCAATGCTTGCTGGTCCTAAATGTCGAAGTTCGCCTGCACACTCTCCTGATAGTTGATAAAAGCTCTTCATTCCATTTCCACATGTAATTTATGACTGCACCATCAATACACTGCCTGTGCACTGGATGGGGAAAAAAACGTGATTCTGAGGGCATTGTTAAAGAAAAGCACACTGATGTCTGTTTTCAGACAATAAGCAGAGGCTTTAATGCGTGCATGGAGAGGAGAGCAATTGAAGTTCTGTAACAGATTGAGACTAACTCTGAGCTATTGAAAAGAAGAAAAAGGAGGGGGAAGCTGGGAGAGGATAAAAAAGGGATGCGGCCTTTGATAAATCTGCTGTGATACAGGTTACCTTTGCTCTTGCTGAAGGTCAGTTTGCTAACAGCAGACAGACATCGGCGCAGTGGAGGGCTGTCGTGTGTAGAAAGTTGCATGTGGGTTTGACACAGTAAGCTGTTGCAAAATGCAAAACAGTCTGGCGTTCCTAAAATTACATTTCGTCCCCGACCATAAAATGGCTAACTTGCAAACTAGATGTAGTAGCAAACACACTGTCATTCACAGATGGCTCACCTGCGGCAAAGTTACGCAGAGTAAGATTTAGTAGCATGACATTAGCTTTCCGGCTTGACATTAGTTTTATGGCTAATAACTGTTTGGCACCACTAAACTATTTCCAGCTTGCGGTGAGGGATTGTGTGTATGTGTGTGTGTGTGTTTATTTGTGTGATGTTGGAAATGCGACACCTTTCTGACCTTTACTAAGAATTTCATTTACACCAAGCGTTGTCTTTATGTGCTAAGTTCGGGTCAGACAAGGCGAGGCTCTTTATTCTGCTTTAATGAGCTTTCTTATATTCGCATGAGCTGCGACACAGAAGATTAATTCAGACCACGTGTTATTTTCTTACATGCAGCTAATTTGGATGCAGTTTCAGATGTGAGCACGCTGTCGCTGCTGCCTGTACTAGGTCAGCACTCTGGGCTGAGTTCTTTGTGACTGCCAGTGTTGGTGGACTTCAAGTTCAAGTCTTCAAGTTCAAGATGTGCTATTGGTACCGTATGTGCAGTACATCTTGAACCCAAAGTGATGTTATCAGGGATGCTATTTCACTTTGCCAAAGAACTGGGTTATACTATAACAGTGTCATAATAAAAAGGTAAAAATCCAGCTAGCAGACATATTTCATGTTTAAGTATAGTGCATCCTCCCTGTCAAAGCTGGCACAGAGGACTGGGAAAAAGATAGTGATAGACAATAGGTCAGGGCAGGTCAAGTTTATCTCTAAAGCCATTAATCACAGTTCTAGAGTCAGCAGGTTTCGGGGAGCATACATTAAGAAACCATAAATGAAAACAACTCTTCAAAACCTTTGCCCTGGAATTAGATCAAGGTCAGACTCAAACCTTTAGTGAATTTCCTCACTGATAGTCTCATCCTTCCCGGACAGCCTGATATGAAATGGCAGAGGTAAACAAAGATGAAATATTGATCAGAGAAGGTAACTGAAATGTCTGAAGTGGGCAACGCGAATGCAGTGTGACGGCACGGGTGAAACATCCGAATGTGTTAGGGGGCTTCAGCACCTACTCACCCATAGCGCCTGTCGTCATCAAGGTCATCACAGAAAGAGCGCTGGGTGCAGGGGCGTCCGCACCGACTTGGTCATCGGCGATGACAACTGCCACCGGAGGCAAGAATGGGGGGAAAAGCAAGACACGTATGGCACATGAATTTGTTCGCAGTGTAGCAGCCAAGCAAAAAATGTCCCCAAACTGGTAAACATGCGAGCTGCATTTACATCTACTTTTAGATGCAGAGTGTGCTGAAGCAAAATGAAAACTGTAAGATTTTGAGCTTCCATTGCCCATTTATCATAGTCTGGTCCTTCATTAAATAAAGGTGTATGGTTTAATTTGTTTCAGAACAAAAGCAATTTTAACAATTAGGTACAACAACAAGGTATTATTAATGACACAAGATCAGCTACAGCATTAAAGCCATCTGCCAAATCTTGTATAGGTCCACCTCGTGCTAGAAAAACAGCTCTGACCCAGTGACGTTTGCACACAGAACCCTGGAAGCATCATTTAGTGCACGTGATACCGGCAGTAGATCTTTTGAGTACCATGGGTTACTTATTAGGCTTGTTTAGGCTTGTTCCCAAGCATATTCAGGGCGAGTGGGAGGCCGGGCCAGTGCCTTGGGCTCTTTGTTGTGAGCAGATTTTGCAGTACAGCGTTGAGCATTGTCCTGCCGAGGAAGGCAGCTGATGCTGGGGAGTGCCGTTGCCACGGGGGGGTGTGCTTGGCCTGAAACAACGTTTAGATAGGTTGTAGCGTCAAAGGAACACCCACATGAATGCCAGGACCCTAAGTTTCCAAGCAAAACATTGCATTTGTATGAATGGATCGGCGTTATTTGCTAAACCTGCCAGTGGCTGCTCGGTGCAATAAATCCTTTGAGTTTGATTTATATGCCGTTTCTATTCCCGCTAAGACCTGAAGGTACTAGTTACTTTGGCGGAAGATGTTTTGCATTCAAAAGTTCATGTACTGTTATTTATGTGCCCGTGTAATGAGAGCCCCAAATCTCAATTATCAATTAAAGTTCAAGTCATCCAACTGAAAGTGGGAGCAATTAAAGCAGCAACACCACAGGCTATTAAACAAACTCTTCACAGGTTAATGCAGAGAAAATTATCCAGTCGTCTCCAGCAAATAAATTAGACACCACCCTTCACTGGGGAAGGTATTCATTTTTTTATTTGTTAGTTCTACCTTTTCATAATATTAATGGCAGCCATTTCAATCCAAGACGTTTTACTTGTCATATATTCCAGAAAGATTTTTTTTAAAGAATGTAAGGGATTTTTTTGTTCTTTTTCACCACCGGATGGTAACCACAGAAATGTTGTTCAAAGCCTCTTTTTAACATTGTCTCGTTTCCAACTCCTCAGCTGGTAAACACTGTTTTAGTATTCCGTCTCGGTGAGGATCACTTGAATAAAAATTCTCTTTTAATGGCACCCAAGTCGAGAGCGCTGTCAAACCAGACAAGCGACAGGTCAGCGCCTCAGTGGAGTGCAGCCTTGGTTTTGATCAAGCACATCTCCACTGACCTATATTTCATACTCAACTTACTCCACGTACATCACTGATGATGCAAGGACAGATGACAGATTGGGGCAGAATTACAGCGAAGGCCTCGAGTTTGTGTCTCTAACCCTATTTGATCCCACTAGCAACCCGTCTCAAAGCCAAGGCAGATTGATATCTAATTATATATCTGTACAATATAAACTTCATTTAAAAATAGATCAGTTTGGGAGAAATTCAGTTCACAAAACTGGCAAAAGAAAGACTTACAAATAAATCAGTGTCTATCTCTCAGCACTGACCATTCATTAAGCTTCTTTTACTCTTGTTTTGCTGTTTGCATACGGTGGCTTCAGGAGTGCATCTTTCCTGAGCAAGTAAGGTGTGCTTATGGACATATTTATATAAAGTGCAAGTCTGCTATTAGGTTTTATTTTTGCACACTTATAAACCACAATCGAGAGCTCCCCTTTTTCAAACTTAAAATTAGGTTATTTAAATAAAAGATGAGCTCCAGTGCAGGGATTTTACATTAAAATGATTTTGGCCTTGGGTAATTTGTGTCTATGAGGACTGCTGAAATCACATTAAAATTGCAACATCATACAGTATATTAATAATATAAACACAGGCTACCGGTGACCAAAACATTACCTCTCTTGCTGTTTAACTCCTGCTTCGTGTCTATACGTGGACAAAATTCACATCACTGAGCAACCTTAATGCTTATCAATTTCAAGCAGTTCTTGAATTTGACCTCTTCTTATTGCTCTGTGCCTTTTTGGCAATTCCCACTCAAAGAACCCAACCTTTCTCAGCTTACAGTGACCTTTTGGAATGTCAGATCCAAAACACTGAAGTGAATGCCTAATTTCTAGGTCTCAAACCATCATAAAACAGACTTTTTACTATCTTTTTGATAAAAATTCAGAGCGAGCATTCTTTTGATTGCTGGCATCCTTAACAGTAGATAGAGTAGTAAAGATTGTGAAGCAAAACTCTAAACCACCCAGGTGAAACCTGCTTTGAGGGACACAGAGGCTCAGCCCAGTGTAAAGCACTGGGCCTCTCCTGCTGCCCCCTGGGTTGTCTCATGGTGATGCATGGTTGCTCCCGGCACACAGCGAGCGTGCACTCTCGGCTTCAGTGGATATCACCAAGTACAGTAGTAGCTGTGGAGAAGGTGGGCGTGTGTGTGTGTGTGTGTGTGTGTGTGGGGGGGGGGTTGTTTGTGATTTCTCTTTGTCTGTGTGTGTTAGTGTGCGAAAGTCAGAGAGAGAGCACGGAGGAGAACAAGAGATAGTGAAGGTTTTATGTGAAGCCCGGATGCCAGGGGAAATGTTTTGTGCTGTGGGAGTTTTCCTCAGGATGTCAAGCACCTGTTTTGGAGCGGTGGGGTGATGTGTGAAGTGCACTCCACCAGGTCGACAGCTGGGAAGGTGTGATGTTGGACCCCTATGTAGGATGTGCGTGGCCGTGTGGGTGGATATTGGGTAGTTCTGCTATTTCAGGATTACTGTTTAAATGCCTGACAGCTATCACAGCTGAGTTGCTGCATGTTTGAATAAGCGACTGCAAGTTGTATTAGCCGGGCACGCAGAGCATATATTAAAAGGCACGGGACTGTGTCGTTTGGCATAATATTAAACCATTTCTGTTCAAATACTGTAATACTTTCCTTCCATAAACCTTTCTTTATCGCCTTCTCTAACGAGCGGGTTACATCAAATTTTGATGGTGAATGACGGACAAAGAGGAAAAGATAAGACTCTCATTAAAAGTATTAATATTATTCTCTTTCCTTTTTGTCTCTCTCCCCTCCTCTCATATCCAACTAATCCCACTCTACCCCTTCAATCTGCCTTTCTTTGCCCCACCGTTGGTCTTAACTCCACCTACCCCCCCACCTCTTCTGCGCCTGCTCATCTTCTCATCCCTCCCTCGCCAATCCTCCTCTCCAAATCTGTCGCTGTCTCCTTCCTCCTCTACAGGCACCACTAGTCGACGCTGCTCTTTGGATCACCGCGGTATGGCCTTCTGGGAGCAGCCCAGCTATGCTCGATGCATAACAAATGAATTCAGATACTTGCAGCAATCAGTAGGTGCAAAGTCAGCTCCCTCTCACAGCCTCTGTTTCCAATGCACCATAAATTACCTCCCCAGTGTCCCCCTCCCAATTCTCATCACAATGTAGCCAAAAAGATTAACCACTTCCAATAGAGGAGCAAATTTAAGCACACATTTTTTTCCTTTTTTTCCCTCCCTGATGTCCTTCAGCTGCTGAATTTAGAGTTCCAGGCATGTTCTCGTCTGTGTTTCTAAATAAATTACAATATTGATGATATCGCGGTTACAATATATGTTGCTCCTCGGTTACTCGTCACTTGCGCTTTGCTATGTTTTGGTAAATAGGATCCACTGCAACAACTTGCAATATTTTGTTCATTTAAAATAAGACTTGCAGCATGAAGAAAAAAGTAAATAAGTAAATAAATAAATAACAGTTAGGGAAACTCAGTGAAACGGTATTTTCAGTTTAATAGAATCATATCTTTCCCTCAAGAGAACCTTTTGTGAATTCTCTCTTTTTTTCTTTCTTTTGTCGTCTGATGAGACTTTTTAATCACACAAAAAGCAGTTTTCATTGAAGCCCGAGTGCATTTTATTGCACCATTTCGAGTACTTTTGCTTTAGTAGGTTTGCCTTCAGCCTGAAAACACAGAAGCGCTTCCACTAGAATAGGTAATTTTGGTAACCCTCCATCACTGTTAAAAATAAAATAATTCAGAAGAGCTGAGATAGCACATATAGCGCTGCACCTGTGAACGTGTATTTATGGACGTAAACCCTGTGCAATGATGTGAGATGTCATTTCACTCTGCAATTTCTGCCTAAATGTGTGTCTTCTGCTCCAGTTAACTCTTTTATTCGTATTGGCTCATTTCAAAACATCCGCGAGGCAGAATACATTTCAGGCCTGGCGTAGATATAAGTGTCACATAAAGGGCCTTAGAGAGTAGAGTCTTTCTTCCTGATTTTTTGCACCCCATTTAATCTAAATGTGTAGCTTAGCGTGTATCTTGCGAACTCAACAGAGGACACCGATGCCCCAAGTTCTGTCCTCTCCTGTTTTTGGAGGTTCAGGGGCACCTTGCCAAGGGCCAGAGGATGCTGGCGGGGGATGGGATGTCCCAGGTCACAAAAAACCTGCTGGATCTCACCCAGAGGAGGAACTTCTATGCTGGTGACCTCCTGTCTTCAGTAGAGATCCTTCGCAATGTGACAGAGACCTTCAAGAGAGCCAGCTATGAGCCGTCATCCGATGACGTGCAAGTAAGTGGACGCTGGCTTCATTTGAACATGTGGACATGAATCTTTGTGAAGTATGCAAGGAAATACCATGCCGTTACTTAGGTAACATAAATGTTTTATCATTTTGGGTACCAGAGCTATAATGTGTAATGTGAGAAAAATGAATTCTATTGTGTGTGAAATAGCACAAACACCCAGGGCTCTATTGTATCAGGAGATCTACTCCACATCCTAAGCTGTTTCATCTCATCATGTTGGGCTTGACTGCAGTCTTGATCCTCTTTATGTCAATAGGATGATGGAGATTATAGCAAAAGCCCCACCTCCATCACCAATAAGACAATTTATGCTCCCAGGGCTGTGCCAATTTCAAAGCCACCCTTCACAGGCCTCTTTATTCTGTCCAGCATGCATACATGTTAGGTTTTTTTATATATATATGTGGTTGTTTTGCTGCGTGTGCATGTGTGAATGGTTGTGCTATATATGTGTGCAATTTTTTTTTGCTAATTGAGAATAAAATAATTGTTATTATGTGATGCCAAAAGCATACTGTAACAGCATACTACTGTAGTTTATTTGTGAGGTTTCAGGTTTTGTCTGTGTTTGTTACTTCTGGATAAAGTCATGAGTAACAGCTCCAGGAAATTAGAAAAATGCGAGACTTGTCCATCAGCTCTTTGCTGTATAGAAATAGTAATAATTTCTCCTTTATTAGCAGGAAAGTTCAGTTATTTAAATACCAGCCACACAGTTCTCTGCTTACTGATAAGCTCGGTCAGATATTAAATCTGAAATATAGCCGTAGTGTTTGGCATTGTGCTGTTTTCTAGGTTTCAGGTAACTCAAAGCACATAAAGAAAGGCAAAAACAAACAAGCTGTCCTACTTAGGTGATTACAAAACTCTGATCTAATTCAATTAAAAAAAGAAAAATTCAACTCAATTAATCATGCACCTCCGAAGTGTGGTGATATTTGGACTACAAACTGTCAGAGATGCTCTTTTCTTTAGTTTTCTGTTGGTTTAGTCCACTTTTATCAACAGTTTCCTCTTGATGTAAGACACATGGTCCTTTTAATGTTCTGCAAAACCCCAAATGTTTTGTCCATGGATGGATACCAAGATGCCATTCATCCGTTTTCCTACCGTAGAAAACCTATGAAATGAGGAAAATGTCCTATCTCTGGTTATTAGGAGCGTGTGTGGGCAGACAGGAGAGCAGTCAGCCAGCCCAACCCCTCCGTGTGTCTCTGCGCTAATGCAGTGTTAAAGTGGGCACATTACCACCAGAGGGAGCATAAGCATTCAAGTAGAAAACAAGATAGCCTGTGTCAAGAGAGAGAGCCACTCCCTCAGGCATATTGTAGACCAAACGAAATAACAAGGCTAAAGATCAGACAGGGGTCCTATTACGACTGCAGGCATGCACCCCAAGCAGTCCCGCTCTCCACTGCTGAAGAAGACAATCCACACAGCTGCTCAAACATTCCCTTTCATCTTTTTTTTTTCTGATTGCAGCTTGTGCTTTTCTCCTGTAGCATTAAGTGTTTGCTGCAAGCTGCAGGAGGTCCAAGGTGTGTTGCTATCAGAGCTCAAGCACAAATTCCATCATTTCTCCTATCGTTTACCATCACAGTTTCAGTGGCAGATTTCCTGGTGCTATTGAGCCCTGCGGGAGAAAATCATTATGCCCCTACAGAAATCTCTTATTTTTCGCTATCGTAAATGTTAGTATATTATCCATAACAGTAGGTTTTTGGAGTGCATGGTGTTTATGTCATGATTTGAGAAAAGCGTCTAGCTGCAGTGCCTGTTATGCTGGTGTGTGGGAGTGTTATGCATTTTCCCTTTCATCATCTCCACAGAACTTCTTTCAAATCATCAGCAACCTCCTGGAGGAGGAAAATAAGGAGAAATGGGAAGACGCGCAAAAGGTAAGCATGTGGCAGTACACCTAGTAAATAATTCAGGTTGCTGCATGAACACTGTTTGCCTCAAACTTCGACTCAAAGCTTGTTTGCAGTTTCTCCATCTGAATAGCACAGATTAAGGCAAGTCAGGTGGATTTAGGATTATGTTACACTTACACATATGGTAGTGAGGTAATTTAGCAGGTGTGACATCTGGCCTCATTTAGAAAAAAACTAGTTCCTCCGAGCTCCACTTGGTGGCAGCAGCACCGCCATAGACATTGTCCAACCATCAACACTGCAGGACTCATTCCTTCTGCATTGTTTCACCCAGCTGATGCCGATGAAAGCAACCAGTGTGATTAGGACCTTACTCAGGTCAGTTTTACCATAAAAAAAATGAACATTTCAGCAGCAGAGACTCCAATCCTTAGTCTCCCCTCTTGATATTTATCATATAGTAAAGGTAGGTGGATGGCGAAAAATTGTTTCAATATCCTTTAGAAATTGAGAAGCAACATACTGCAATACAGCGGCAATGTTGTGTATGTCAAAATTTAAGTGCCGAAAAGTACCCATTCACAAGACTTGTTTATTCACGAAGATTGGATTCTAGCATCGTCCTGGTTTAGACACATCTCTCAGTTTGAGAGGTGGCAGGTCTTGTTTTCAAAACCGCCACTGGTGTCTGAGACAGCCTGAACCCTGAAATCACACACATCCAGACTCTGACAGAGATGCCATCTGTGATGACTGCGAGTCTGCAAAGGGCATCTGCTCTGTTGTCACCTTCACAGGTAAATTGGGTGTCACCTGCACTGACATATGAGTGAGGTGATGCCTTAAAATGACTTTTTTGTCTTACTTTCTCCACACCTGACTTCAGCTGATGCTATAAGGGGACACAGGCAGTTCAAATATTGCTCAGAGTGCCAGTCCTGGCTGTCTACACAAGGAGTAATTAGGTGTTTACTTACTGGAGCTTTAATTTGGCAGGGCCCCTAAAGGGATGATGTCGGTGAGAGAAGCTCACAAACTAGCAATTTCATCAGCGAGTATGCGTAAGAGATAAGGACAGACAGATCCGAGGAAGTATAGATAAATAAATATAATAAATATATTGTCTCCATGATTTAACACCCAGAAGAAATGTGCGACACTGTTAAATATTCCCGCAGTTATTAATGTGCATGTCTGAGATGTGCTGCTTTAGTTACATCATTATAAAAAGTGAACATGGCCAAGCTGCATCGCCTTACACAGTTTTTCTCACTTGTTGGGTTTCTTGCATTAATGAGTGTTCTCGGCTCAGCTTCCACAGCACCCACACACCAAAAACACGTACATGAAACACCTCACTATTGGGCTTAACTGGCTGTAAAGTTGGCTTTTTGCACTGATCACTATATATTCACCTCCTGCCTCTGTTACCATGGCAAGGAAAGGAACAGCTCTGTCTGCAGAACCTCTGCTGCAGCCATTTCCCTGCGCTGCCTTCACGTCTCGCGGTTGCCATGGAGACCAGCAGAATGAGCATTACTGCACTCTGCGTCAGACATGCCGGAAGGGGCGACATGATGTGCTTTTCTCCCCCACTATGGCTTTCACTCTGCTGTGTCAGAGGCTCTCGACTTCAGCACCGCTGATCCGTTATCCCGGCTTAGCCGCGGCACATGAAGAGGCATGTGCACACACACACAAGGTGCTACAGAGGAGGGAAATACCTGCCTCAGGTGTTTGTTGAATATCAACTTAGAGTGAGGTGCTAATTGCTAAATGCCACTCAAAGGCTTCTCTAATTGCCTGACATCACCACTGTGCGCTTACACACTTATTTACGCCCCACGAATACATGAGTCTTGTGCAGAACTGAAAAATGGTATTGCAGTACAGCACGATATATCCCATTAGATGTGAGACATCGCCAGTAGATGGGCAGCCAGTAGATGGGCAGCCAGGACAGTAATCCAATCTTTTGAAGGTCAATTATTGGATTAACGTGCCTTTGATTTATTGACTTTGGGGAAAAGAGCTGAGTGGACCAGCAGTGTTACCGCTTGTGCTATAGAGCTGTCCATGGTTCTGAATTCATGCCCCTTCACTCTTATGTGAGTGCTGATGTCCATGGAGCAACACATGAACTGAGGCAATCACCCTTGACTTGGCAGTGCTTTTCCAGAAACAGGCCAGCCACCAAATGTGCTGGCACAGCTGGTGGTTACAGCTCTGATGCTGATGTTATTTGAATGGTTCAAATAGGGCTACAACTAATTTATATATATATATATATATATATGACTGGTTAATCATTTTCTTTTTTAGCAAGTTTAAAGATTTTATCTTTAAACTTGCTAAATCTTTTAAACTTTTTGTATGAAAGATTTTATCTTTCATACAAAAATAAGTACAGAGCACCGCATTTTAATCACTGGAGAACTATTTAAATTAAAACTGTCCCCTTGTCTTTATTATCTTGTCCAGATCTACCCTGGAGCAGTGGAGCTCATGCAGGTCATAGAAGATTTCATCCACATTGTTGGACTGGGCATGAAGGATTTCCACAATGCCTATTTGATGACTGGAAACTTAGGTAAGAATCGACCCACTTTGCCTTCGGGCCCACAGCCGCTGAGATCGTTTTACCATTTGTTTTGGCTTGATATGGACACATAATCCCTGTGCTCCTCTGACTCCTTGTGTCAATTTCCCCACCATCATTAATTTAGGATAAATGCTGGGCAGTTGGGGTGGGGGAGTAAAATTACTGCAAATCAATAATGTTGATTAAAAGTGATCTTGCGGTCTTAATGTGCTAAATTCCAATGAAAACATTTAACATTCAATCCAATATCAGTAGCTTACAGCACGGGAAAACCTGCAAGAGTAGTGCCTTCACTAGAATAAATACAGACAATACTTCAAAATAACAACCACGGGTACACATTTTATTGATGCTCAAGTACATTTTAAAACACTGGGGATTTTATAACGTAGTTCAGTAAGAGCAGCACTGCTTTCTTGATATTATAAAGCCTCTCACTAATTACAGACTCTATGTATAGGTTCAAAGTTTTTTGGTCAATAATCACATCAAATATTTATGTTATTCTGAAGATGAAATGGTTCTGTTTGACGCTGCACTGAACTGTAGTTCTGTGAGTAAGACTTGATTAGCAGAACATACCCTATAGCGTGTTTTGCACTTGTACAGCCACATGAAAAAAATTAATTAAAAGTAAATAAATAAAAGATTGCTTGTCAGTTCCTTGTGAGATTAGCAGTCATGGAAAAAATACAGTAGGAGGGTCTGATAAAAGGCTGTAAAATTGGAAGTGAAATTACAAGTTTTCTTTGCAGCTGTAATGAGCTTTTCTGCAACACTGATTTTTGTCGAGATTATGACTCGAAAAACAAAACAAAAAAACCAAAGTGCTGCTGTGGGTTCTTTTAGCTTCGGTCGCGCAGCCTCTCGGATGATCTGAGGTCTCTGTGGCATTTCATTTTTTACTCAGCCACAAATGGTGTCTTACTGGAATGGAAGAGTAGACCGGTGGTCTTCATTTATTCATGCAAGTGAATGTGAGTGTGCACAGCTGTGCCGTTAGGCCATTCCTCTTAAGAGGAACAGAGATGTTTCATCCTTGTATTCTTTACAATAGCTAACATTCAGCTCACTTCGAGCACACTTGCTCTCTGTGTTTCTTTATGGTATGTGATTTCCATAATGATGAATCGGTAGTCTCCAAGAATAGCATACCAAACATGGTTCAATGAATGCACACATCAAAGTACCATTATGAAACACTGTGAGAGTCAAATTAACTAATGGATTTAGACTTGGAAATAAGATTCACATTGCCAATCATTAATGACTTCTTTCACAGATGTGAGAATATTTCTGTGCTGTTCTCCTACCTTATACTTTATACTTATTTCAATTTGTCTTAATGGCCGTCATCCAAACTCATTGCCAGTGCCTTCTCCTTATGCTCAAAAAAGCATTAACAGATGACCCCTGCTTTATACACAAAATGGAATCTGCTCTGTGAAACTGACTCTAAATTGACGGTTAAATGTTTTATCCACATTCATACAAGTTCCTTGAGCAGTTTAATGCATTTCATAGCTGGGCTTGAATTTAAACTATTTGACTCTTATTACATTAGTCAGCTGTATCACTGTCCTGGCCTCCACTCAAACCTGCTGGACTGTGGACTAAACCGTGTCCATCTGTCAGATGTGATATGACAGGAAATGTTTTTGGTAAGCGTGGAGCAATGATGCAACTCACCGCTGTTTCTCAGTCTAAGAAAGCACTGAGTGGCATAATCAGGGCACCATATTCAAAACATTCTGAAGTTTTTCTCCCACATGTCCATAGAAAGAAGATATATTGATTTCATGCAACAAGAAATGCAAGAAACTGAAATAATGGAATAATTCCAACACGGTCAACAACATCTTCTTGCTTATTATCATCCGAGTTATTATATTTTGTTTGGGTTTTTTTTCTTAATTTATGTATATGCACGCTCATTGTAAAGATTACCTTTATTTTGAAATAACAACAGCGTTACTCGGTGTGAGATCAAAAGGCAAGTAATTAAAAATAAAACTTGTGTTGAGAGGAACTTGATTGTTTTGACTGAAGGAGGAACAGCTACACTAAAAGTGTGCCCACATAAAGTGCAAAGAACACTTGTCGGTAAAAAGCTCATTTGAATAATCCCATCATTTTCTGTTAGAAATCTTAAGGAGCATGAGTGAACCTCTTAATAAGAGTATGTGAATGTTGGAAGCATCATTATTATGTAGAGTGCTAAAGCAGCTTTTCTTTTGGAAAAAGTGAGCACAAAGGCTCGGCAGAGAGGGGGGGGCATTTGGCTTTTGAGCAATTATTTGGAGATATAACATTAATGAGTTGCCTCTGGCTAGAATCAACTTGACTGGCTGCTGGTGGTGGTAAAATACAGGGGCCTAGCTGGGAGAAATTATTATGCCAGAATGGACTCTCTGATTTAATTTTTTCTTTTTTTTCTAATGTCAAAATTAATTACCGCTCCTATAAAATGTTTTCGCATTTGCCACTGCAGAGCTGTTTTCAAAAAACAATCAAGATATGATTCGATACCACATGATTAATACATGGGACTTTCTAATTATCCCATCCGTGGCCAGTGCACCGGCACAGCCAGCCAATGGCAGTGATTTCAGCTCACGCACACAGTGCCTTAGTGACCACGTGGCCCTTTTTGATTAAAGGAATGGAAAGTTTTGTGTCTCCATCAGTGAAAGCCAAGTGGAGAGCATCTGGCTGAGTAAGATATTGCGGCATCATTTCGTCACTAATTTATGGCAGCCTCTTGACACCTAGATAAATACTGGCTGTCACCACTGTATCGTCCTGTGTCCTCCTACTTTTAGTCAAATAACCTTGATTGGAAAAGGCTGTCCACTGCAGCAACTTGTTCTCCCTCCTTGCAAGCTAACAGTTGGAGGACAAAGTGAAGCTTGGGACATGCAAAAAAAAATTTAACACAGTCTTGAAGGTGGACTGCATTACGCTCTATTGTCTTTTTTTTTCTGGTTGTCTACTGTGAGGCTGCGTGTCATGGTCGAGAGAATATTTTGACAGTAATAGTGATTAATTTCCACTGCACACACAATAGCTGGAAATGCTCATTAATTTCTTTGCAGGATGTTTATGTTGTCTGACTTCAATGGTTTACTTAACGCTGAACCTCTCATGAACGCATTCAGACGTAATGAGCGATGCAATAAATCCCTCTTATGAAAATGAACCATACAGAATACTCTTAGTGCAATGAATTGCTGTTCAGAGGCGTCGCTGTCCGTAATTACTGCTTTATTTGTGCTGCGTAGCCCCATCAGGCGGATGCAAAGCCCCATTTACCTGCAGAATTACCCAGAACTCTGAGAGACAGTCTTCCCAGCACCATGTTGTGTTTCACAGTGTGCCCTGTGACTAAAACCACAAACACGAATAAACATGCACGACGACTGCTGCTCCCGACATCTGGTGCTACGAACGGGCCTCTTTGCAAAAACGGCAGGTCTTGTGGTGCTCTGTGATTTCATGCCCGCTGCAGGATCATCCCAAACACCTAGATGCACCTTCACTGTCACTGATTTCACTCACACATGGAGTCTCGCCAGGATTCAAATTGTACTATTGGCACAGTACAATGAACAATAGAGCTTCTGCATCAATGGTAGGATTAGCCTCAGATTCCCCTTGCTGAAGCACTACCTGACTGGGACTGTATGTGATACCAGGTAGAGAACAGTACAGCTTTATCCTCCCCTTGTAATGCTAAGGCCCTTTCTGTTGATCCTGGGTATTTTCCTTGTCACAGCCTTAGTGCACTGACTGGCCTTTTATGGCACCTCAGCAGGGAGGTGCCATAAAAGGAAAGCGTGATTAAGGTGATTACCTTTCTAGTACTTGTCAGGTGCCAGTTGTAGCTTTGGGTTTGTATTTTGCAGCAAATGAATGCGTCAAAAGCCCAGTTGGCCTGGTATGGCTGACAGATGACCTGCATATTTGCACAATGATTCAGTTTCATGTAAAATCTACCTATTAATTTGTGAGAGAATGCAGACTCTGCATGTTGAACTCGAATCAAAGGACTGCCCTTGTGTTTACTTTTGAATGACAGTGGTGCAGACTGCATGGTTATGTTCATAATTTCATCTAATATGCAATGTTCAAGCAATGCTAATAATCTGTATTTCCTCGTTTTTCTATAGTTGCCAGCATCCAGAGGCTTCCAGCAGTGTCTGTGATGACTGACATTAACTTCCCCATGAAGGGCCGTAAAGGCATGGTTGACTGGGCCAGAAACTCTGAAGATAAAGTGGTCATCCCAAAGGGCCTCTTTGTTTCCCAGTCAGCAGGTATGGGACTATATCACCGAGTCATCTGACTGCTAGTCAAATACGTCTTTCTTCAAGAATCAGAGGCACATAAGCAGTCTCCACGTGCAAGCTCCATCTGTCTTAGAATATATATTCAGTATATACATACATACATTCTGTCAAGCTTCAGAATTACAACCTGCAGCAACACATCTTAAATGTGCAGGGAAACTGTAGTAGATTCGCAGGATTAATGCTTCATGAATACACAATGATTGATTCACTGGCCACTGTTGAAAATTGGAAAATATATGTCTTCACATCTCAGCAGAAGTGGAATGATTTTAGCTGAGTTGGAGTGTCTGACAAGTTACTAGACTTTCAAGCAGACACATTTGTCTTCTGAAGAATGTTTTTTTCCCTTTAATGTTTATGCTTCACCACTCCTTGTTTAGAAAAAGTGAAATAATGGTACAAGCCTCTGAACAGAGCCAGTTTGCTAGCCTGTGCTTGTTCAGTTGCAAGAGTTTTCCATCAGCTCAGCATTTGTAGCGTCCTCTCAAACAATGCCAGTTGCCACTCTATACTGCAATCCAGAGCCAGGCAATTTGGTTGATTGGTGTAATCAGTCTTATCCGAAATATATCAATGATAGCAAAACAAGGAATTGATCAGGATGCCACGTGCTTAACCCAAACCAATTCTGCAGTGGATTCTGGCACTTCTCTTGCTGGACAAACAAAATCAGGTGTTAGTTAATGTGATTTGTTTGGAAATAAAAGCACACCTTCAGGTTTCAGTGGGCATTTATGTAAATGATTGTATATTTAATGAGCTAACACCTAATTTGCATATATAAAATGAACTTTAGAAAACTATATACACAACTACATTTTTTTAAATTCAGAATCTAATTTATACATCTGTTTGCCCTGCAAAATATGCTTAAAATGTTTGGGTTTTTTGTGGCTGATGACAGTGTTTCTTTACTTAAAAATTCGCAAAGCATCATCATTTGCAGTAGTAATAAAAAAAGGGAAATCTATCTGACATGACATCAAAGCTTCATTTCCTCCTTCAGATATGGAGGGATCGCCTGTCTTCATTTTGGGAACCGTTCTCTATAAGACTCTTGGACTCATGCTACCTTCACCAAAGTAAGGGCAACATTTCTCATTGTCTGCGTTTTCTGGTCTGCTAGCAGGAGGAAATATGAGACAGATTTAATCCTTTGGAAGCTGCACAGGTGTCCATTTTTATTCACAGTAGCAGATCAAGTCTGAAAAACATGCTGTGCCTTTGTCGCTCCAGTGTCCCTGAAAGTTCCACTTAATACATTGAATAGAAATCTTATTTTGTCCTTCTTACAAGCAAATACTTGCATTTTGCTGCTGTTCTTTTTTTTTTTTTAGAGCTCTGTGTCACTGTAGCATGCAGTATGTAGTTAATTAAGGATGACATTAGTGTCTGGAAAAGCAGTGGGATGTCCCAAACAAACACCTGGTGTCAGACACCAATCAACAAGTCCCTGGCAGCAACGTCCCAAGGACAAACCGGTCATTCCAGCACCGTTCGGGCCAGCTGTCACAGAGAGAGCAGCAGCCCTGTGGGTAAATGCAGAGAGGAGGTTATAATGGGACACTGAATTGTGTCCTCTGCAGACAAACATGAGGATAAGCTGATCAAATGGCAACTCTGAAAAGAGAAATACCAGGCAATGTGGCTTTTAGTGTACTCGTAATTAGAGAGGCATCTATGTGTCATGTGTTTATTACATTTTAAAATAAGTACGGGAAACAGACATATGCAAAAGTCAGATGACAAATTTGAATTATTTGCTGCTCATCATTATGGACCTGCTGCATTTTCAGCTCTTCTTTTCTTCGTGTGGATGACAATTTTTCTCCCTGGGGGAAAGTACATACTGATTTTTATCTTCATTTCAAAATATGATATGTTCTGTCAACTATACCAAAGCTGGATATCCCATTGAAACATGACTATGATGCTAGCCTGTAAAAGCATATAACACAAAGCATCTTCAGGTGAGCTTTGTAGACTGTGTTTTCTAGTTTCTTTTCTTTTCTTTTTTCTTTACATGATTACTGCCAAATCATCCTGTATAGCATATCTGATGTCTAATGGGCAGCTCTTGTAGTCCTCCTTTACTGACTTTAATATTGAGGTTAGTATTCAGTGCAAGCAGCATTAGAGAAAATATGCTGCCTGACACTGAAACTTGAATTTGAAGAACTCGCACTCTGAAATGTAGATCATTAGATTAGCAGGCAGAGAGGGGCTTTAAATTCAAAAATATATGCACAATATCTTCCCTAAAACACCAAATCAGGTTTTAATACCAGCGTGGCCCTTAAGCCTCACTGACTCTAAAGTTATACCTAATCCTTTAGTATTAACAGTAATTTTTCAGACATTATAAAAATGCTAGAATCTAGAGCGTTGGAAATGATGATGCATGATGTTATTCCTAATGAGGGATTCACTGTAACTCGTTTGTGTCTGTTTGCGTAGGCATTTGGCTACGCAGGATGAAGGATTATGGCCATGCCACCTACTCAGACGTGTTTGTGTGCAGTCCTCCAAACAACCAACAGCATGTGGCCCAACAGGGGTTACACTATGCGTAGTTTGAATGTTGATTAGTTGAAAAGCGGGCCTGAACAGGAAACTGAGCTTTAGCGGAGCTCACCACATAGAGGGAGAAGCATGAAAAAAAATAATCAAAGATTAAATAACAGCATGGAAAGAGCAGACGCTGGCAGCAGTGGACACTTTCCATTGTTTTCAGCACTGGGGTTCACTTCAGCTCTTTGTATAACTTTGTCTTCTCCTCAGCTGGCTGAAGGAGCAACAGCAGCACAATTGGGAGTAGCAGAGTAGTTGTTCCACATATTTTTGACCGTTGATGGCTTTAAGCAGCTACAACATGGAGATGATGGTCTGCATAGCTATGCGAGGCCCTTCATAGGACCAACGCACAACCATGCCAAGGTCTTGAGTGCACTCAAAAGCTTAATTCAGCATGCTTGAAGCACAGACAGTATGTCCACATTTTGAAGTTCTAGTATTGGCATTTTGGCTGCTTTTTTGGAGCTAGATGTTTCCTTTCATGGATGAAAGGATGGAGTGCTAATTGTCAGTGGTTAGCTATTAGCTGTTAGCTAAATCTAAATTAAGAAAGCAAAGCAGAAAACTAATAGCACACTAGAATTTCACTCATCAAAACTGAAGCACAGACTTGTAGGATGGTCTGATTAGTGAGAGAATCTATTAAACCTACACAAACAGCTCACACATTCAGTGCAGGGATCCAGTTTAATTATGTCACCCAGTCAGCCCCAGCTGCCTGTGTGGGACAGCTGTCAATCAGTGCAGCCACATCCCAAATTCAACTATGATGGATGAGTTAGAAAAAGAAAAAGAAGAAAAATCACCCCACCCAGCATTGTTAGGAGAGGAGAAACTGATTTGTTTGTTTGTTTTGTTTTTAATAACAGCTTCTAAATATTATTTTTAGTGCTGTAAAATTAGACAGACTCCCTTTTAGATCCATACTCCAGTGGCACTTAGGGGAAATGCAGTTTCTGCACATCAGTGTCTTCATTTTTCTGCTCTGGGGGTTGCCCCTCAGTGTAAATTCATGCACCGTGCTAACACAGCTAAACTTAAAAATAAGCCACACTGATGAACAACACTGAAATGTTAATTGACAAGGACATCTAAGAAGCATTTAGTAAAAAGATCACAACACATATGTGTAAATATGGCTACCTATGCACAAACATAGTTACACATACAGCAATTATTATCATCGATGTTTGTAAAAAGATTTATTATAAATTATTATAATTCTTTTGGTTTTTTGACTTGATCTTCTCCCGGTGAATGCGATGTTAAGCTCTTTTTTCCCCCGTTTGTTTCACATGCCATGTTTATTGTGAAATTTTGTTCGAGTCTTGACTAAATGCAGAATGACACATTTGAATAATTAATTTTGTAATTTTCTCACATCTCTGTTTGATTCAGGAACCACACAGTTGTGAACTCCAAGGTCATAGCTGTGACTGTGAGACCCGAGCCCAAGGCCACTGAGTCCCACCTGGAGATTGAACTGGCTCACTTGGCAAATGTAAGCACAGTAACTAAAATGTTCATACACAGATGCACAGTAAATACTATATATAGTTTGGATCTATACTTTATTGACCTTCATGTTCCTTTGTTAACACTACACAAAGAGTTTTTGTTTGCTGGCTGAGTGTTCTACAAAGACCACAGCACGTATCATCTCCCATTAGCTGACACACAATGGCGGTTAATTGGCTCGATAATTAATTTGTGTCGGGAGAGCACTACGTTCAGATAATTACAAGGACAATCCCTTTTTATGATCCAGACCTTTTTATTCATCTTTGAGATAAAGTGCATGTACGTCTGAACGTGTCAGCAAATTTGTGCATGCGTGTGTGTGTCTGTGGTAGTGGAGTTCAAAGCTTTTTTGTGTGATCTATGAAACACGTTTTCAAAAAAGCTAAATAAAAGGACAAACATGCACTTGATTTATAATAATGATGATGGTGGTGATGAAAATAATGATGAGTTATCATCATAATTTACCAAACATTTTGTCCTTTTCCTGCCTTCCAGGGAACAATGAACCCTTACTGTGCGCTGTGGGACAGCACCATAATGTAAGTGGGCATGCACTTTCACTTCTTTTCACTTTTTTGTTGTTATAGGTATTCATTGTTTTCTGTGTGTGTTTTTTTGGGATAATTTCCATGTTCAAAATCAGGGTGATACATTTTTCTGGGTAAACCATTACAACATTATTGGAACTACAAAGAAACTGTATTAAACCTCATTCAGAGCGGACAACACGGTAGGCCAGTTGTAAGTCATATGAGTTTAATGCTTGGCTGTAAAACTCACACGTGTTGATTTAAACCTGTGTTCATACTGACTTTGAGTCAATGATGGCGAGGTCCTGAAGTTGCAGAGTTCTTGTTTAGTGAATGTCATCATGACTCCATCAAGTTTTCTATCAGAACCCAACACGAATCAAACAAATATGAGTTACTAATACTAATGAGTTACAAAATAGCCCGTCTCACAGCAGTTGAGACATTTATATCTATACCAGTCCTTTACAAAATAGTTTGAGTGCATACAAAACTAAAAGGCAATTGGCAGCATGTATAGGCTTCAGCAGACTTAAAGATATTCATTTTACAGTAAGTGCTGATAAAAGTCACTGCCTAAGGTGCCGTAGCATCAGTCAAAAATACTGCAGAATTATATAACGTATCAGGAGGGAAACTCCCACAAATTATGAGGACACAAAACACAACCGCTTTACCTAAACGAAACACAGCAGCTCATATAGAATGCTTAATTTTATGGTGTAGAAATGTGACACTCCATAAGAATACAACAAATATTACATTTATGTAAAGCCAATGACTTGAGTAACATTACATTTTGCACTTTTGCTTATCTGAATAAGTTGTTTGCTGCTTGATGCATAGTCCTCCAAACTGTGTCTGTGTTTGAGGTTGTTGTGCCATTTGTGTTGATTTGATGTCACCTTCTCTGCAGCAAACGGAACAGTCCCGTGATTTCCCATGTTGGATCATTTCCACTCAAAAGTGGAATTTTTTTCGTACTTTAAAATAAGACTTGTTCACGGTGTCAGTACGTGTTAATTAGCCTCAAAAAGACATCATGAATGATTGCCCCTGAGGTAGTGTAGAAGGCCAGGTAGACTGCCTCACGGCTGGAAAGAAAAGAAGCATCACATAACAGGTGGGGGGCCAGGGCAAAAGAGGTCAGATGGATGGCCTGAGGGCTGGAAATCTGCTGAGATAAAGAGTTTAGAGGGTGGTTGCAAGGCTAGGGAGAAAAAAAAGATGGTTGGAAGAGTTGTGATTGGTGGGCAGTAGTTTTGATCCAGGACAGGTAGACAACTGGGATGCAAATACTTCTGAAGTGGCAGCAAATTAAATATCAGTGAATCTTACAGTGGCAGACACCAGTCCTAAGACCTGGAGCAATTGGGGTAGTGCCCAGTAGTCATGGCGCAGAGAAGACAGGCTATTGAATATTTGAGGGATGGACATTTCACTGGGTGTTGGCAGGGGCGGCTGATGGATGGTTGGGGTGGCCGATTGAACAGCTTAGGCGGCTACACAAGCAATTACCTGATGAAGAATTCCAGTGCTGGACATCAAAAAGAAAGAGAGAGAGAAAGAACTCTGGTGGCTGTTGGGGCAAATGGCAAGGCAGGATCCAAAGAAAGATTTGCTCCTGGATGGTTCAATAAAACTTGATAAACCTAAAAATGAAACAGGGTTGGATACTGCAAACAGCAGGCAAGTCAACTCAAACTGCATGAGGGATTTACAGGCAACAATGTCTGCAATGGATATCATCCAGTGGGCGCAAGCCAGCATTTCACATAATGAAGAAAGAAAACATTTGGTGTACTACAATAAGGTTGTGGTTTTGTCTGCATTTGTCTGCATGTGTTATAGGAAAAACAAGACTTTTCCTCCTTCTGTCGCATTTCGGCTGCACAGCCATCGTTTGCATCATCCACTTGGGCGATACATGTGTCTTTTAAGCTCAACAAAAATACCAGAATTATTATAGAAAACTACTCAAGCTTGCCTGAAATCAGTGGAAGAGAAATCGTATTTTTTAGAACTTCAACATGGACAGCGGTATTGTTTTTTCTAAAATAAGAATACTAACACTATGGATGGATCATGTTTTGTAGAACTTTTGTTCAGTTTGTTGTTTATTTTTATTTTTTACCTGTAACAGGATGGAAATGTATTTACTAGAAATATGTTTGATTCTAGTTTCACTTAATTGTGTACAACCTAACAGCAATAGTGGATGAACAGAGCTCTGGCAAAAGCATATAAAAGCTTGTTACTTTCACTGTGAAATAGCATCTGAATTGTGCGCGGTCTGTCCTCTATCACAGTATTTGAGGGCAGCTGGTCTATTTTTGAACAGCAATGATACAACTGGGACAACTCAGCTACATTCTTTCTGTCTGACTTTCACAAACCTAGTGTTAACTATCTGATTTCCCCCCCCATACTACATTAGGTAATTTTAATCATAGCACCACTGAATGACTCCATGGTATGATAATCATTTTTCAAACATTTGGCTCTTTCTATTATCCAATAGGATCCACTCTTAGGACTCATTGAGGGGATGATGTGCCATCTGTCAGCCATGTTGGTTCAAACCAAATGAGAGTGCTCATGTTGACAATTAGCAGAGAGAAAACATTTGCAAGTGGAGAGCTATGGTCCACGTGCAGGTTATGTGAACACTGAGCTGGACTTTAACATAAACTACACGATCAAAGTATTTTTAAACAAATGTGAACAAATCTTTCAGAATAGGCTTTTTTTTATATAAGACTTACAAATAATGAAATGTTGAAATTGACTATAACTAACTTCCAATGTAATATTAAAGTAGTGACCATAATATTAAACTGCTTGAAAACAGTGAGGGCTCAATTCACATTATTATTATGGAGGCCTATAGGTGAATCTGCTGCAGTTGGCTAGCTTTGAAAACTACAGAGAAATATAAACAAACACCACACACTGAGTTCTAAAATATCCAATATCTTTTTTAAATTTACTCTTCCGGTCTCCAGGTCCACAGCACTGAGTGTAAACATATCAGATGCATACACTTTTATTACTTTTTCAAATGTCAATATTTTTTTTTATTTTTTTTATTTCAAATAACCTCAAAATTACCAATATCCCACCACTGTGCCAAGGGAACAATAAAAAGTGCAATCCAGTGACTTCAGATCAGTTAACATCCCTGTTGTGGTCAAAAATAAATATTTAGGGAGAATTAATCTGCCTGACAACTCACTTCACCTTATCCCTAGCTTTCATAAATAACATTTTAACTATATATATATATTACTCCATCTTAGAATATCTTAGAAGTGATATGACACTGTGAGTCTACCATAAGGTTATTTTATAGTTCTGACTTGTCTCTTTCTAATGCTACGATATAAAAACAAACTAGTTGTAAAACTAGGCGGTTTTCTTCCTTACTGCCCCCAAACTTGTAGAAAAAATAAAAATGCAGAATGACGTTCCAAGATAGTTCTGGCCTTTTGACGTTGCCTTGCAATTAACTGCTTTTAAAAATCCTCTGATGCTTGGGAAGCAGTGCATGGAAAGCCATATGAGTGTCTTTTTGACATTTTAATCGCAGATGCTTCAGGACCCTTTCTCGGATTATCAAACAGAGTCTCGTGGAAGCTAAACATCAAACGGCTGAGAACATTTGCAGATCCTTAAATGAGGATTCACAAGTCAGCATCTTGGCCCTTCATTAAGACATCTTTAAAACAGAGAATTTCACTGCCTTTTATTTCACCCTCAAGGTTATTTTCTTGTTTAATGTGTTTACTCTAAGCAAGACAATGAAGTACGAAATTATTGTTATTTAAATATTAAATAATGACTTTCTAGTCAAATATATTGATGGATAAAGTCTTTTTTCCTAGCATGCAAAGACACGTGTTTGACACAAGTTTCGAATAAAACAAAAATAAAGTATAGCAAGGACTCGAGCAGTAAAAACGTGTTTTAAACAATTATGTGTAAAAACAAAACAAAACCGCCGATTACAACGGAAAGCGCTTTCAAGTCACGTCTTTAGCTTTTACTGAAAATTATGCACCTCGTTAGTTTTATCTGGCATTTCTAAGTGCTGCACAATTCTTAGCAAGAATTTACCGGGAGCACTCCACTTCCTGAGAAATTAAACCTTTTTAATCATTTAGATGTTAACGTGTGAAAGCAGCCGTCACTGCTTCGAGTTCTACAAACATCTGGAGAAGCTGAATTTGAGCCAAAAAGGCTGCACCCTACACTCTCCAACTGCTCCAAATCCTATGAATCAAGAGAAACCTCTGCAACAGCAACATTTGCTTTCCATTTGGACATTAAAAAAAAAAACCAGCAGCTTCTTGGCGGTGTGTCTAAGTGTTGAATCAAAATGTATCTACTACAGCAACAAAGAAGATGCCGCCATCCACAAGTTTGTCTGTGTGGTTCAGTGGTAGTCGTTTACTCCATGAGCTGGGTGGAAGCTGGGACGGAGTTCATGCAACCACGCCTAACCTAGTTTTTGAATATAACATTAAATCTGTGACAAGTCAAACAGTAACATTACTGCTAAGAGAGAATTTACATTTACTAATAAATTTGATAAGCATTGCTTTCATTTTAGTTGTGCCTGGTTTCATGTGAATAATGCTGTATCTGTTCACTTCAGTCATGTCCACGGTCAACTCTACCTGCAGCATAATGCCATGTAAAACTCAACATCACGTCTCACTTTATCTTTCAGCTAATGCGGTATTTGATTTTAGGTTTTGGGGTTTTTGGGGGGGTATTTTGTCTTTGTTGTTGTTGTTTTGAAGAACTCTCCAATGGTTTCCCCTGTTTGATGTCAATCTTATTTGACATTTTCATATCTGTGATCAGCAGCTGTCAAGCTTTTTCACAGCATAGGACCACAAAGAGACACATTCGCTCCATAGACTCGCACTTCATCAGATTTAGTCTCAGGGACCCATGTGGAAAGATTTATGTCAATTTCCGAGGGCTGCTTTTGAGCGGAAACT